ACATCCCCCTGCCACTCCTCACCCCCCCCCGACACCCATGAAGCCCCTCCCAACTTACCTTGAACTGTGCCAAGGGCAGCAGGTACACCAAAGAGACACTGGCCAAAACCAGAGCGTCTCTTTTGGAGGACTAGCTCGGGTCATGGTCTTGAACCATGCCTTGCTCCGCTCTGTTGCAGAGCATTTTTTTTAGACCCCTGGATATAACATTTTTTCGTTCCCACATGTGCCTGTTGCCCACCTCAAATGGGTTTGAGGCAGGGCAACAGGCACGTGCACGCTCGTCTGGATGCGTCCCATGTGTGTCTATGCAATCTATATGTATATGCAGATTGATGACGTTGCAGTGCAGAGACAATCCAGCTGGTCATTAGGTCCTTAAATGAGCTGGTTTTATTTAAATTATAGGACTAACAACTTAGACACTTCAAAAGAAGTTAGGAAAGATCTAAGCCAATGTAATCTTTGTATCTCCACTAACAGCTGTTCACAAAAAGTCATGCTGTTCCTGTTGTTTGAACACTTCAAACTGGAATTTTAAAAAGAAGAACCTAACTACTTTCCCAAATGCTTTGCTGTTCAAGTAACTTCTTAGTCTGGCAAAATATTGATAGAAGTGAATGGTACAATATATTGAGTGATTCTGGAGAATTCAGCAACCTCAAGTCTCCTTCACTGCTTTGTTCACAGATATTGATGAATGTGCTGAAGGACGGCACTACTGTCGTGAGAACACTATGTGCGTAAATACTCCAGGATCTTTCATGTGCATCTGCAAAACAGGATATATCCGGATTGATGATTACTCTTGTACAGGTAAGAGCTGATTATTTATGAAACGAAAAGACCTGAATCATATCAATGCATTTTAAATGCTATTCTGCATTAATTAATTTTAATTAGCTTAACATTTCATATATAAATCCCATGGAACAAAAAATAAGTGAATAATTACAGGAGTACAATTTGCATAAAAGCTGGTACATCCTGCAAATCATAAATAAGTTGTATCATTTGTCTAAAATAGGCAATTGAGCCAGTATGCCATCACTTGCGGAAAAGTAATTGGAAGAGAGAGCCAACGGGGGAAAAGACAACCATAGTACACTTAAAGAGAAATTTGGAAGTGCAGTGGGGTATTCTGGGGATCTGAGTGCACTTACACAGTTAAATTCCCTGCGTCTTCGAGGCTGCTTTTTTTCCCTCCTTGGAATTATACAACAGGGGATTCTACAGTTGCCATTGTGCTGCTGGAGTGCATGATCTATCCTCCTCTGTACCTCTTCCACTTATGCTGTTCAGCTCATGGTTGTCTCTAGGCAGTGTCTCTGGGCTATGTGGAAGTCTTCCACTGCAGCTTATTCTCATCTTTTTTAAAAAAAAAACAGGTATAAAGTAACAATTTAACATCTAATACAGCAGCATTTCAAAATCGCTGCTTCTATACTTGCTTCTGGGAGGAGCTCATTTCTTTTTAACGCTAGGCAGATGAAGCAGATGTGATTCAGAGGTTTGGGACATTGTCTTAGAGGGAAAAAAGGCTTTATTTGCCCTGTGGAATGCGTTAGTTCTTTTAGCAAACATCAGAGCAGATTCGATTAATTGAGTCGGCTGTGCGTCTACTGGAGCGGGCCATTTAGTACACTCTAGCAGCCTCTGCATCATGTGTATTCAATGTCCCTGCATTTCAAAACAGCAGCAGGAGTGCTTTAACTAAAGTTTGTTGAC